GTTTTTTAACAGGAGAGTAGGAAGAACTCGAACGGGAAGAGTAACTTGGAAACTGAATAAACACTAACTAGTAACAAGAAGATTAATGGTAAGAGTAATACAATATGAACAAGAGAAAAGGCTTGAGGCACAGCGAACAGCGGTCGCAAATGACTGAGAAAATGGCGGACACTCTGCTCTATTTATAGCATTGTGGGGGAGGAAAGCGGAGTTTCCCGCAAAAAACCATTAGCTTTGCAATCTTTCCAGCCTTAGGCACTGCACAGGCGCAGCACCCATATGTGTGATGCACAGAGGCTACGACAAAGAATTATACTGCTTCCAGCTGCATATTGGAATCACATTTTTGTTTTTTCAAAGATATGTGCAAATTAAAAAGAGGACAGTAGGAAGTGAGCTGTACTAGTCTCCCTCCTGTACTTGTTTGAAGGTTTGCAGGCATTGAAAAAATAGTACCACAGTCTATTCTGCCCCCAGTCTCTTATATTTATATACCACCTTTTTTCCTTTCAAAGAATTCAAGGTGGCTTACATAATTGACTCTCCAGTCCTTTTAGATGAAGTTTCCCAGCTGCTTTGTAAAGGAGCAATTCAAAAACTGTACCGCTCCAAAGGCCTGCACAATTTCTACTCCAGGTACTTTACGGTACCAAAAAGAGATGGTGGTCTATGCCTGATATTGGACTCATGTGGCGTTAATAAATACATCAAACCCAAAAAATTCAGAATGACCACACTCTATAATATCCTTCTGTTGCTCAAGAAAGAGAATTGGTTCACATCCTTAGACCTGAAAGACCCTTATTTCCACATAAGCATACATCCCGCTCACAGGTGTCTCCTCCAGTTCACTGTCGGTACTGACATATTTGAATACAATATACTCCCCCTTTGGTCTCGCCACTGCTCCAAGAGTTTTCACCAAGTGTATGGCTCCCATATGCACCCATATTCAGCTTCAGGGTATTCATATTTACCCTTACCTTGATGACTGGCTTATCATCCCCTTCTAGCCTCCATTGATGCAACCTGCTCCCTCCTTGACCAACTTGGACTATGCATTAATGTCGAAAAATCATGTCTCGTTCCTTCTCAGGTCATCAACTTCATTGGAGCCCATCTCAACTCGCTGCATACCTGAGCCTTTCTTCCTCACAACCTAAAGACAGACTACTTGCGTCTATCCAATGGATTACTGCCCAATGGACTGTTCCAGCATTATCCGTACAGAAACTGCTCAGACACATGGCATCTACAGTTTCTGTAGTACCAAACACCAGACTGCGGATGAGACCCTTACAACTGTGGTTCAACTGCACCTTCCATCCACAATGCAATCAAGCACACCGGCTACTTCAGCTGCCTCTCTCGGTTCTTCACACCCTGTCTTGGTGGACGATAGATACCAACCTTTCTTCTGGAGTCCCATTCCATCCACAGCAGCCAACTCTAACTCTCTGTACCAACACTTCCGTGACTGGTTGGGAAGCCCTCTGCGTGACCTTTCAGACACAGAGTGCCTGGCATGGCCATGCGACCACCAGACACATCAACTATCTGGAACAGCTGACGGTCTTCAAAGCTCTCCTTTCCTTTGAGAAAATCCTTTGGGACTGCACCGAACAGATTGCATCGGACAATATTGTGACTGTTCTACATAAACAAGCAAGGCAGTATGAGGTCAGCCCCCTTGGCTCGTCTCACTCTCTGCCTCAAGAACTGGTGCACTGCCTGCAGGATGTACTCCACTAACCATTCATCTTGCAAGGACCGACAATGAAGAAACTGATTCTCTCAGCAGACTCGTCGATGACACATGAGTGGGAACTAGACCATTAAGTCTGTCAGTGCCTTTTTCACCTCTGGGGACCACTGAACATAGATTTGTTTGCAACTCATGACAACTTTTTGCACAACGTACCTCTCCCGCATGGGCACCAACCCAAATTCAATTGGGAAGGCACTGAGATCCCTTGGATAACCAGATTCGTCTATGCCTTTCAACTGATACTGTTGATAACAAGGACACTAGCCAAAATCAGCCAAGTTGATGCTCGTGGGAATCTCATAACTCCCTGGTGGCCTCAACAGTCATGGTTCCCCATTCTTCTACATCTTTCCAACAACAGCTTTGCCTTCCTCAGATTCTACATCTGCTTACTCAACATCACAGCGCCATTCAACATCCAGATCGACACTCTCTCAACCTCACCACCTGGCTCGTTCATTGACTTTTTCTAGCCCATCAGTACTGACAGATTCATCAGATTTGACACATACGTCTCAGACATTGCTTTCTGCTACATTTCAACTCCCTGGTACAGTGTTGCCATCGGTACTGACACCTCTGTCGAATCCAACTTATCTTCACCCTGACATATAGTTCATTCTCCAATCTGCATTACAACTGACCACACGGCAATCGTATAGTGCTAAATGGAAGCACTTCACCTCATTTGCTACAGCTAACAACTTTGTGCCTCAGTCTGCTATTGAGAACATTTTACAATTTCTACTCTCATTACACCAGGGTGAAATTAACTCTATTAAGGTGTACATCGCAGCAATCTCACATCATCAGTGCTGCATTTTGGATTCCTCTGTATTCTCTCATTTCCTTGTCCGTCCCTTAAGAGGCCTACAAAATCTTCAACCACTGATCCGATCGGTAGTAAGGACACGGAGCCTGTTGTCCTTCAAGCTCTCTCTAAGCCTCCCTTTGAACCGCTAGCCACGACTGATCTATGCCTTGTCTCCTGGAAAATGGCTTTCCTAGTAGCTATTACTCCAGCTAGAAGAGGTAGTAAGATGTGCACTGTATATGTCAACCCATCATACATGAACTTTCACAAAGAGAAAGTTATTCTGTGCACCGTTCCGACCTTTTTTCCTGAGGTCATTTCCCCTTTTCATGTCAATTAAGATATCCTGCAGGCTTGCTTTCCTACACCTTCGACACTGATCAAATGCTCCTTGCATACACTGGATGTTTGACGATACTTAGCTTTCTATTGATCCCAAACTGAGTCCTTTAGGCAAACCAAACGCCTGTTCGTCAAATACTCAGCACACAAGGATGCTCCAGTTACCAAAGACTTTTGAAATGGATCATGGAGACAGGTGAACTGTCTTATCATCTCTCCAAATTGGACTTACCAGTTGTTCCTAAAGGACATTCTACAAGGGCTGTCGTGGCCACTTCTGCTCTCTGCCGGCATTCCCATGCACATTTGCAGGGCGGCTACATGGTTTACTCTGTGTACCTTCACAAGACACTACCGCCTAGATGTCAGGGCCAAACAAGACTGTTCTTTTGGCTGTGCAGTCCTTTCCTCTGTTCTTCAGTGACAACACCGTCCCGCCTCTGGGTGTGGTAAGCATACTAATTACCCATAATGTGTGATGCACAGAAGCCACAATGAAGGAAGGCAGGTTGCTTACCTGTAACTGTTCTTCGAATGGCCATCTGTGCATTCACACAACCCGCCCACCGGCCCCACTCTGTGTTCATGACTGGGCTTACTAAAATAGCCTTATATTTTATACATCTGATACAGATAGCTATATACACATGCCCACATGTGTAGGGCAAATGTCCTAGTGTTTCTGACAGCCAATTTCTGTCTTGATACTTTTTGTCAAATTCAATTTTACTTATCTCCACCTGGGGGCAAACAGGCAGTCTTCAGTAGGCTAGGGAAATGGCGGGCACTCCACCCATTCATACTACGGGGAGGAAGGTGCAGGGTTCCTGCCAAAAACTGTTAAATCCTTCCAGCAACAGGCACAGCGCAGGTGCAGCATCCATAATGTGTGATACACAGAAGTAAGGTTTGTTATTACTAGCCATCTAAGGTAAATTTGTTGACGATCAAAGGGATCCTGGAAGGTGTTACCAATAGAAATGCTGTTACAGAAGAACCAAATGCTAAAGCATTCGAACTGTGCTCTTTAATTTTAAAGCTAAGCATTCTTTACTCTTGGAACCAGACAGCATTTTAAAAACCCTAATGTTTTCTATATAATGGACTGAATTGGATGTCTATCCAACAAAAATAACTGATATGGATTTTCAATCTGCCTAAGGAGACACTCCAGCACACTTAATTTCTGATGACTAACAATTAAAATCAAATTAGGGTATTGGAAATTTAACACATTATAAACTGAAATACAATTTATTATCCATAAAGGTTAAGTCAAACATTGAGAATATTTTAGTTAACTCTACTAAAGAGATGCTATATAGAATATGGAATGCTGCTTAACTTGGAAGAGGCACTGTTCCATTTCTAAAATACTACATAGGGTGAAAGAGCTTCAATTAACGCATCAAAATATCTAGAATTCCAACATTTTATAGCAATTTGGCAAATGCTTAGAATTAATGGATATGCACAATATTTATCTAGCTGAAAAGTTTTGTCTATACTTGTAAGAAGTATTTTGAGAAAATTAACAAAGATGAAGTACTGGCTTGTAAATTAACAGAATAATACGAATGAAAATTAGTTCCAGTATCTGATTGCGTAAATTGTATGGATTTATTCAAGTCTAAAACCCCCAATTTTGGATATCCTAATTATTTTGGACATTCAATGCTATAATGAACAGGGTAGACCACAATTAAATATTCTGATAACCATACACATGTATGAAGTGATTAATTCCTTGAAACATCTTCCACCAACCCAACTGATGGAGTAGCTCAGGCAATTTAAGCTGCTAAAGGAACTTTGGGTACAATCTCAACAAGTTCTGAGAAAGCAGCAGAAAAAAGACCAGAGCATACAAGTTCTTTGCTGTGTGTTTGTTGTAGAATGAGCCATTAGTTGCTTCTGGTAAGTAATTAATCAGAATGAAAGCCTACATTTGAGATCATGGATCGTTGCCGTCATATGCACTATGCTTGGGGTAAAGTCTCAGTGACATTAATTATAATTCTGAGATTTTGCCAGGATTGTGCTCAACATACACACACACACACAACACAGAAGACATAAGCCTAAATTTTTATTAAGCATTTTTACAACAATTTTCAACAGCTCTTTTTAACAAAAAGTTGTTACTTCACAACAATTAAACATAAAGGTTAGCAATTATAACTTGTGTGTATTTAGGCTACCCATCTTCCTTCAACCTGAGGGCAGCAATAATATCAACAGTTCCTTAAACATTTTTAAAGTTACAAACCTAAGCACATTTACTTGGAAATAAGTCTCACTGAAATCACAAGGATGGAAGTAAACATGTTTAGGATCCTGCCAGTTTCCCCAATAGTTTTTTTTCCTGTTTGGAAGATTTAGGATGTTAAATTAGGCACCTTGTTCCATGATAGAAGGCAGTTTTAATCCCATGACTCATCAGCTGTGCTTATATTTGATACTGCAAATCCTCCACTGTGCTGATTCTCTTTGCCACGGAAAACCTATACAAACCAGAGTTGAGCAGATTTAATTAGAACATGCATATATTGTAATAATGCCAAGTGACTGCAACAAATCATTCCTAACCTCACACTGTACTTCAGAGTCAGGAGTGTCTGAAAAAGGGGTGTGGTTCAAGAAAAGGCAGTAGAACCAACTCCAAGGATGTGACACTCACATTTCTAGAATAAAATTCTCCTCCCCTTACAGAACTAGACAATCCTTCAGTATTTGCAACATGCTTCAAAGTTGGGATATAATTCAGTCTTTAACAAGACATCTACATAAGACAACATCTCCATGAATCAAAGTAGGTTTTGTGATCAGGTTGATAATGAGAATCAGCCTATTTTATTGTTTACGAAGGAAAAATATGGTGTCAGTGAGGTCAAAATTACATTAATACTGGCCCATGTAGAGTATGTCAATTTCTAAAGCATAAAGCAAGTACTGGTTTTTGTAGAAGCTGTCCTAGATATGACAGGTCTTGACTTAATAATTTCAGTAGTACCCATGTACTTTCCCCTATGCTGGTTCTTAGCATTCCAGACTGTTTTACAAGACAAAGGCATCCTGCACAATTATTGTCTAGTAACCAAGTGCATGTACATCACCACCAGTAATTCTAAGTAAATTTTACCATCCGCGAATCAACAGATGCAAATGTATTTCCCCTTGGACTGCTAAAGCCAATTCCACCAGCACTACAAGCAATTTCTTCTAGCCATGCTGGTACTTCTTGTTGAGCCTTGAGAAGAAAAAAAGATTGCATCATAAATATTTCATGTTCCTGCTCTCAATTTAATAAAAAGCAGAAATCTGAAATATAAACAACTTACATCTGCAAGCACTTTGACTAGAGGTTGTGCAATAGGACCATCTGAATAAGGATCAAAGAAAGAAATAGCTTTTCCTATATTACCACAACGCCCAGTTCGTCCAATTCTATGAACATAGTCATCAATCGTGGAAGGTAAATCAAAATTTATAACATGCTGAACATTTTCAATATCCAGTCCTCTTGCTGCTACTGATGTAGCAACAAGGACAGGGCATTTTCCAGATCGAAAACAGTGAAGAGCTTCTTCTCGTTCTCTCTGTTCCCGATCACTTGTAAAGAGAGAAAGAATTTATTCTACTTTCGATTAAGACAGCAACTTTAACACACAAGCACAGAAGCCACATTTTGGAAAAAGAACAATTTTCTAATGCACACTTGTCATGTTCAAAGGATACTGAACTTTGTGCAGGTATTTAGATTGTTTTAAGTCTACGTCACCTCTTGAACATTCATATATGCATTCTGTGTATTCTGGGTCAAAGATGACAGTAGTCAGAACAGATTACATATAATTTGTGTCATGTTACAAGCATTATACCTTAATACATAGGAAAAATATTGCAACTTTTGTGCTCTACTATGCAGAATAAACTTGTCTCAAATAGCTGTGCATTTCTCTAGAGCAGCAACTGTTGTGAAGAAATAAAGTACATAACCCCACCTAAACAGATTCTGCCAGTTTTAAGACCATTTCAGAAGACACATTAAGATGTATGTCATCTTTTAGAATACAAGTGCTATAAAGTTTCCAAAATTACAAGTAGTTGAGAAACAAAACAAAATGTTAGCTATCAAGTAAAATACTTATACACTAGCAATTATATTTAGTATGCAAGAGACAGGTCCAGAAATAATGGTTCATCTTCAAACCAATGGCACTCAGCACAATCCCTGCACCTTTTCTAAGACAATGCCATTTAATATCATTGTCAGATTCAGATCCTGTAAGGTTTTGTGACTGGAAAGCGACATTATAAATAAATTGTCCAGGCACAAATACATTTATGCTCCTTTTGGTCAAAGATGGTCCACCAGGAAACTGGTGAAAATGCTGTGAGATGAGCTTTCGCAATATGGCAGTTTTATATTGGAACTACAACTGTAATTTCAAGTGTTTGTCTGTGCAGTTACACAGATAGGCTCTGTGGTGAAAATAAGAAATGAACTCGCAGGAAACAGTCAAGGTCCAGCAGACTACACAGAATTGTTATATGGCCCCTTGCTTTCCTGAGTGTTGACCCATTTTAGGGATATCTGCTGCACATCTATCTGGAGGAAATGCTTTAAAAATACTATGCTGAGAAGACATTAAGTTATGATGAGTATTATATGAATTATGACATACATGCTTACCCATGAATACTTGTTGTTGCTATGTTTTCTTGGCAAAGAAAGGTTGCAAGGAAGTCAGCTTTTTTCTTAGTTTCCACAAACACCATGGTCCGTTTATCACCTGTAAGAAAGCAGGATTCAACAGATACCTATCTCTTAACATAATAGATTAGTTGACTATCCAACTAAAACAAAAAGCCAATTTTTTGCCATGCAATGCTGATGCCCAACATTTCATTCCTGGTACTAAGTAGATATATTTAGATGATTAAAATAAAAGTGCAGTAATACAAAATAATGCCACATCTTCTGTCAGCTATGCAGACAGATAATGACTGGCTGAGGAATCAGAGATGACATTTAAGTGATGTGAAACCCCAAAACAGATTAAACATTTTAAAATTACAGCCCTCAACTAAGGATATGTATTTTATGATTCCAAACTCATGACATTTCATACAGTTTCAGACTTAATGTTATAGAAAATTATACAATAATTTAATCCAAATATTTTTTTTAAAAAAATATGAGAGAATACAACATTTTAAACCTTTAGGCACAATTTCATACTAGACCAAAGTAGTTATCAACAAACAGGTTATCCTAAAATTCTAGTGATCTTAATTTTAGACTGGCCTCCTGAGAGCTTTGCAGGCATTTAATCTTTTGTAATGAAAACCAGTTGATGATTAATTATCAAAAAACTAAGATTATAGCTTTTGGGAAAGACATACAAGCAGGGTCTGGAGTAACAATGGGCATAGGGTAGAGCAAGTAATGCGTTTTATGTAAGTAGGGGTATTGTTGCAATCCTCAGGAGCAAAGAATGCCCATCATGAATATGTGGCCATCCTGGCCCAAAGCTTGGCTCAGGCTATATTAAGATTCTTCCGTACCAATGGCAGCAGTATATTCTTGTTGCCCAGGCCAAAATACTACCTCGACTTCTCTACAAGACACTTTAGGTCCAATATCCTTTAACTTTGCCCCGTTAGAAAAAGTTCAATCAAAATTTATAAGTGCAATTTTTCATACGCCCAGCTGTGTCTCTAATGCTGGTATGCACTTAGAATCTGGTCTGATCAAAACAGAGGCTAGGGTAAGCCTCTCCTCTATTAGCTTTTGGCTTAGATTAACCTATTGCACCCAAGGACTAACTTCTTTAATATTTCGGAACTGTTTTCGATTGTCCTGGCTAACTGCAGTTCATCAAAAACATCTCTAGGACTCTCACCAGACTTTTTTTTAGTAATGGGACTGGATCAGGTAAACAGAATGTTAGATACTGAGCAGCAATGTGATATTCGGAGAGTACCAGATTTTTTGGCACTGAAAAATACCAAATTTATTGTTGCCATGGCACCTTACGTATTGTTCTTGGAGTCTCTCACTCTTCGAAGGGCCTTATCTCTAGCAAGATGGCGAGTATTCCCCTCTGTGGTCTTGGAGGGGAAATGTTGTATAACTCCAATGGTGGAGAGGGTTTGCCCTTATGGTGCTGGAGAGGCACCAATTGTTTCAATTGAAACAACTGAACATGTTATCTTAACCTATAGTTTAACCTATAGTGTTGGAACAGTTAGAATATTTTAACCTATAGTGTTATTTGTAAATTGTTCATTAAGAAATAGCTAGTCACTGACTGTAATAAATTGCTCATGCTGTTGACTAGCCACCTGATAGCTTTTTATTTCTAATATATTTCCCTAGTTTCAGAATGCCTGGCTTCCAAATGTGGCTAACAAAAGCCTACACACATTATATCTAGCTGTTCCAAGGAGTTGATTACCTATTCCACTAAGGAGTTCAACAAGCTTGTTTCTCTTGTCATACTGATTCACTTGAAGTACTGTCTGCTGGACATCACTGCAAGCTCCACCCACTTGTCCAACGACAACGAATAAGTAATCTGACTTCAAAAATTCTCCAGCCAGCCTTTAAAATGAATAAAATAAAGCCATTTCTGAGTTAGCTCAAGAGGGAAAAGTCAGACAATTAAGGCATACAGCATAGAAGTATTTAATAAGAAATTAACTGCCAAGACACAGCAGCAGGCTAATTCTATGAACACATGAATGGCTAGTTTAACATTATCAGCTTTATTCAAAGTTATGCCCTCATATTAAATTGCATCTTTCAAGAGTTTTCTAAAAGGCCAGATTTAACTTTCAGCCTTTGATTGTGTGGATCACAACAAACCGTGGGAAGTTCTTAAAGATATGGGAGTGCCAGACCATCTTATTCGTCTCTTAAGAAACCTGTATGTGGGTCAAGAGGCAACAGTGAGAACTAGACACCGAACAACTGGTTGGGTTCAAAACTGGGAAAGGAGTACAGCAAGGCTGTATATTGTCACCCTGTGTATTTAACTTATATGCACAGTACATCATGAGAAAGGCTGGGCTAGATGAATCGCAAGTCGGAATTAAGATTGCTGGGAGAAATGTCAACAACTTCAGATATGAGACGATACCACTCTAATGGCAGAAAGTAAAGAGGAACTAAAGAGCTTCTTGATGCAGGTGAAAGGGGAGAGTGCAAAAGTTGGCTTGAAACTCAACATTAAGAAAACTAAGATCATGGCAACCGGTCCTATCACTTCCTGACAAACAGATGGGGAAGAGATGGAAGCAGTGAACAATTTTATTTTCTTGGGTTCCAAAATCACCGCAGATGGTGACTACAGCCAAGAAATTAAAAGACGCTTGCTCCTTAAGAGGAAAGCTATGGCAAATCTAGACAACATACTAAAAAAGCTGAGACATCACCCTGCCAACAAAAGTTCATATAGTCAAAGCTATGGCTTTCCCAGCTGCAATGTATGGCTGTGACGCTAAGTTGGACCAAAAAGCAAGCTGAGCACCAAAGAATTGACGCTTTTGAATTGAGGTACTGGAGAAGACTCCTGGCAGTCCCTTGGACTGCAAAGAGATTAAATCAGTCAATCTTAAAGGAAATCAACCCTGACTGTTCTTTAGAAGGACTGATACTGAAGCTGAAGTTCAAATACTTTGGCCACTTAATGAAAAGGAAGGTCTCACTGGTAAAGACCCTGATGCTGGGAATGATTGAAGGCAAAAGAAGGGGAGGGCAGAGGATGAGGTGGCTGGATGGGGTCACTGGGGAGGTGGATATGGACTCCGGGGGATGGTGGAAGACAGGAGAACCCGGAGGAATGTTCTCCATGGTGTCACGATGAGTCGGACACAACTTTGCGACTGAACAACACACTTGTCCCAATTATGAGCAACTTAAATAACTTGGTGCATGGCAAACACAGAATGCATGCACAGAATGACATGGCATATTAATTAAAAAAAGTTTTGAATTTAAATTGATTTCAAGGTTTTAAAATTTGTAACCATCCTGTGACCAAATCATATTAATCTGTTTACTTGATGGAAAGAATGACCATTCATATAAAGAATAATCTGAAAAAACAAAGGCTATCCACATAAAAGTAGTATGCCAATCTTTAAAAAAACAAAACAAAGCAAAACACTTCTGCTGGAAAACTCTCAATATGATTAGGTAATCCAAAGTTTAAGATTCATAATCCATGTTTTTAAAAGCAGTCACATATACAGACCTCTGGATTTCTTCAGGGAATGTAGCACTAAACATTAGTGTTTGACGTTTGTCCTTTGGTGGCATGCCTGGACATGAAATCAACTTCTTCATTTCAGGACCAAATCCCATATCTAGCATACGGTCAGCTTCATCTAACACTAAATATTTTAGCTTATTCAGCCCAATCTGAAGGGGTTTAGAGGAACAAGTTAGTCCAAAAATAAAGGGAACATTTCCTTTGTTACAGGTTAGCAGTAAGAACTAGAGTAGTATTCCTTAAAGCCCTTATTCAAATGTTTTACACTTCATTACCAACATCCGGATACTCTTAACTTCACACAAACATGTATCAGCAGCAACTAATAATAAACTTCTACCACTTGATTACCACCTATCAGTAACAGTAGGTTTGAGATATTTCAGCCTGCCATTTATGGACAGGAAGTGAGCCACTTTACACTAAGAGCAGCGATTATGCTTATTACAGTTAGATCAACATTACCTAGGCATAGGAAAAAATAGCTGTGCCACTAGCTCTTATTCTTGTGCATTTACTCATTTGAAGGCCACAGGGAGTGACACTTGCTCCAGTCTACAATTCAGATGCTTATATCTTTCCTTCTTCTCTCAAATCTGTCATACTCCAGGACTATATCACACAGGCCTTTGGCAGCCATTGTGCCATATTCATAAAGTATCACCTCTAAGATTTTGGGCACTGGGGCTGGGAAAGACCCCCCCCCCCCGAAGAACCATCGCCAGAGAAGATGATAGATCACTGGTCTGCTCTAACTTAAGTCAGTTCTATATATTAAACTGCAGCAGTATGCTCTGGTAACTAGAACAAAGAGCATTTACTCCCTGCCCTAACAATTGTGAATCTGTTCATGCTGGGTTGAATTATTCCACTGAAGGTCAACCTTGACAAAAGACCTTGCTTTGCACAAATGTCTGGCTGCTTTAAATGAAGCATTTAAGCCTCTTCTAATTTTAAATACATAGCACTTAAGAAATATACATATCTCCTACCTTTTCTCTGCCTATGATATCCAACAGCCTTCCTGGTGTAGCACACAATATATTACAACCTTGCATTATCTGATGTATTGTATGGCCCATCTGTATGCCTCCATAAATCACAACTGGCCTTATACAAGTTCTAGTCAACAAGAAAATATACATTACATTTCTCATAATGTAAACAATAAACAGTGAATGTATCTCCATGTATCAACATCATTACTTATACACTGACTTAACAGCAAATCCTTAAAAAAACTGCATTACCTTGTTTTTGTTTAAAATAATTTAAGTGATAGCGAAATGGCAATCTATCTGCAGTACTACAGATGCAGTCCAGTTATCCAATATTAGCAGCGTGCCCTATATACACCTTAATAGGGCCTGAATCCTTGTATTAATCAAAGCTTACTGAAATTCATGTAGCTTGATGGACTGAATCCTAAGTTATGTGGTGGTCACATTTTAACTCTCCTGTAATTATGCAATCTAATTAGAAGGTATGTTTATTGTACACAGCTGCAGCTACAGAGGAACAATTTATGGGTCATGCAAACATCTACAGAATTTATTCCTACTGGAGGTCGTATCTGACTAATGTATTCCTTGTTTTTCCAATCTGATCTATTGAAGGTGTGATTCTTCAAAAGTTCATGTCTGTTACTGCCTTCTGTGTATCATGCAGCTATTGCAGCATTATGCAGGGCTTTGGCAACACAAGCCTAGAATCCCTTTTCAGGTCCTGCCATATGACTTCACCTCCTTTCTCCAATCACCATACTGGTGGTTTCCCCTGGCTTTTGCACCTTTCTCTTTCTATGCACTGGTATATTTGGTTTTTGGCTGACCTTTTTTTGCCTTCTCCCCTATCTCATTTACCTCTGGACCTGCCCAGTACAGTAATGTTGCCTGAAATTGAATTGTGACCTAGAATTCAACGTTTTCCACTCCTGTGCTATACAATGGAAAGGCTCAAAATAGAGATCTAGTGAAGCTAGATAGGCAAGGGAGGCTGACAGCCACACAACACAGCTTCCGCAAAAACAGGTCCTGCCAGACAAACCTTATGGAATTCTATGACAAGGTTTCGAGATGGCTAGATGGAGGGGATGCAGTGAATTTGGTTTACCTGAATTTCAGCAAGGCCTTTGACAAAGTGCCCCATGATATCCTGGTGGAGAAACTGAGGAGTTTTGGGATACACCAAAGCACTGTCCAGTGGATTAGGGCATGATTGATTGACCGAAAGCAGAGGGTAACCATTAGTGGGGAATCATCGGGATGGCAGCCAGTGACAAGCGGGGTCCCCCAGGGCTCTGTCCTGGGGCCGATCCTGTTTAATCTTTTCATAAATGACATGGAAAAAGGGGTCAACAGTCTGCTGATCAAATTCGCAGACAATACTAAAACTGGAGCAGTGGCCACAACTGAGGAGCAGGTACTCCAGATCCAAAAGGGTCTGGACAGACTATGGAAGTGGGCAGGAGACAACAGGATGGTGTTCAATGTGGGTAAGTGCAAAGTCTTGCACTTGGGGCATAGGAATAGGTGTCATAAGTACAGGTTAGGTGACAAGTGGCTGGAGAGCAGCACTTGTGAAAGGGACCTCGGGGTACTGGTTGACTGCAGGCTAAACATGAGTCAACAGTGTGATGGGGTGGTCAAGAGGGCGGATGCCACTTGGTTGCATAGCCAGAAGTGTGGCTTCTAGATCAAGAGAGGTATTACTACCACTCTATATGACTCTGGTGTGCCTGCAACTGGAGTATTGTGCTCAGTTTTGGGCCCCTCTTTACAGAAAGGATATAGCCAGGTTAGAGTCAGTGCAGCATAGGGCCACAAGGTTGGTGGCCGGTTTGCAGGGGATGGGGTATGAGGCGAGACTGAGGGAACTGGGTCTCTTCAGCCTGAAGAAAAGGAGACTCGGAGGGAATATGTTGGCAACATACAGGTATGTGAGGGGATGTCACATGGAGATGGGTAGAGACCTGTTCTCCCCTGCAGAGGAAGGCAGGACACGCTCCAACGGAGCAAAGCTCAGGGAACGCAGGTTCCATTTAGATGCCGGGAAGCACTTCCTGATAGTTAGGACCCCGAGGGTGTGGAATGGGCTTCCACAAGAGGTCGTTGAGGCCCCATTGGTGAGGGTGTTCAAAGATAGGCTGGACATGCACATGGTGGGCATGTCGTGAGCGGAGCT